TAATAGAATCTATGATGCTACCTTGAAGGCATTCTGTAAGTGGTGTGCCAGGAGGGAAATTGATCCCATAGCAGTCTCTATTCTGCAGATCCTGGACTTTTTACAGGACTGACTTGACAAAGGGTTCTCACCTAGCACACTACGCAGACAAGTGGCCGCCTTGTCCTGAATTACAGCGCTGAATTGCGGAGATTTGGACTCCCTAGCCCACTATCCGGTGGTCCATACCTTCATCAGAGGGGCAGTTAATCTCAAACCACCTGTGATTCACAGGTATCCCACCTGGGACCTGTCTAAAGTTTTGCAGGCCCTCACCCTGGCACCATTTGAACCACTACTGTCTTATGAGTCTGCGCTACCTGACATTGAAAATCGCCTTCTTAGTGGCCATCACGTCAGCCAGGCGCATATCAGAACTGGCAGCTCTTTCTGTCAGAGGTCCCTAGCAACAGAGGGAGTGTCCTCAAAGATTTGACAGACTCAGTCCAATCAGCAAGCAGAGACTGATCACCCAATCCTGAATGCTATCTCCACCACAATGGAGAAGACCTTTTCACCTTTCACACAACAGGGTAGTTCTATGGCTGGACCCCTCCTTCATCCCTAAAGTCAACTCCTGCTTACATAGGGCTCAGGAAATAGTGTTACCGGACTTCTGCCTGGCTCCATCTCACAGAGCACAAATGGCACACTCTGGACGTAAGGACAGCACTCCGCAGATACATCAAAAGAACATTGTCATATCGCAGAACTGAAGCCCTGTTTGTCTCATTTCAACCATCTTCCACGGGTACCAAGCTCTCATATCAACCATAGGCCGTTGGATAAGGGCTTGTATAGCCAAGGCCTACAAGACTCAGGCTCTCCCAGTACCCAGATGAGTAACCGCCCATTCAACAAGCTCAGCTACTACAGCTGCGTGGGTGACTAAGGCCTCTCTTGAGGACATCTGCAGGGTGGCGACGTGGTCCTCCCCATTTCCCTTCATAAGACATTACAAACTAGACACATTTGACTCTGCATAGCTGTCCTTTGGTAGAAGGGTGCTCCAACGAGTACATACTGACAGGATCAGAGGACCAGACCGCTTCCCGCCCATAGAGACAGCTGGCTTTGGTATGTCCCATGTGTGTGGATTCTCCAATAGGCATGCTGGAGAAGAGACGTTGGCTTACCTGAATGCAGTTTCTTGCCATTGGAGAATCCAATCCCACCGTGGCGACTGTCTGGTCCAGTGTCCAGGTGAGAGGCCAAACCAATAACACAATGAAGATCATCAGGTGACTGCACCTTCATCGTGACTGGGAGCTTCCTGGCCTGGACAGGAAGAGGCATGGCAAAGATTGATGCCTCAGTCTCTGGGCAGAAAGGCAGAATCAACCCTTGTGTGTGGATTCTCCAATGGCATGCTGAAAAACTGTGTTCAGGTAAGCCAGTGCCTCTTTTCTTTATGAGTAGGACTTGTTTACTAACTCTTTTACATACTATACAAGTCACATATTTGTTTAGTTACTGTATACAATCCACAGCATCCATAACTTCCGAAAACAAATCACATCATACCTTAGTCCCTCAATGACTACCCTGATGTAGTACTTACAAAATCAACATTTTCCTTCCATCAGGCAATACCCATTTCCATTCTCCAATTTCTATTGCTCCCACTTTCTCTAACTCCTTCTCATAACATTAAACATTCCTCCTACCACTGCTATCTTGGCTTCCAAGTCAGCACAAGTCTGTGCAGACCAACTTAACTTTCTAGCTAGCTAGACCAAAAGTCCGTCTCTTCCTTCTATTATTTTCTCTTCCCATCTACAAACAAATTAATCCTTCCCCCAAGGGAACATCCATCAAATGAAGTCTAACTAGGCTATAACACAACTACCCCAACACAATAATGTTCAAGATCCAATCCTCCCTATAAGTCTCCTTTTAACCTTGACAGATAGGGTCTAGCATTTTAGACAAAAAAATGCCACTGGCTGTCTTTTTCCTTCCCACTTCTGTGTTAAAATCCTCAAAAGCCATTCCCTTATCTGTGTAACGCTAGGGTTTTCTTCTAGTAGTTTTGCATACAAAATAGCATAACCTATTCACAACCTACAATATCCACGCAATCCTAGAAATTTTCCCTCTTTTTCTACATAGTGTAATTCACTAACATTTGTAACATCACTGTAACATCACTGTAACATTTCCTAAAAGGGCAACAACTTGTGTTGCTAACAAACAGACAGACAAACAATGAATGCCATAGGATGAAGCATCTTGACTCCTATGCATCCAAAAGGCACACAGAAATAAAGACATAAAAGAGGGCGGTAAGAAGAACAACTTCAAAGATAAAACAAACAATCCAAATGAGGTATTTTGAGTCAATGCTTTGAAATATATTTGGGTCAAACTTTAGTGTCAATTCTCTGCTTTGAGTAAAATATGGATTAAGAGCATATACAGAGTGCGCCTGGTTTCACTTTTGATTCCCTTGCTGAGCTGAGCTGAGCTCCATTGTAACTGGGAGCTGAGACAGCTGCAAAGATAGATGTTTTTAGGCAAACTGCCAGCCTTAGCCTAGCCATTTAAGGTTCCTTTGTTTGCAGAAACACTGAGAAAAATCATGATCTCAAAAATTTGCAGAAGGAAAAATAAATCAAAATTGTATTCAGATCAGCATAGCTTTCTATTTGCAGATGCAAAAGACCCAAAACAGTGAAAGGCAAGGCTGCAGGAGCAGGTCGCCCTGCCTTTCTCAGGCAAATAGAATAGAATAGAATAGAATAGAATAGAATAGAATAGAATAGAA